TTGATAAATAATTCGTTCTTATTGCGAAATAGGAGCACTATTTATCAATCTGTAATAAAAAACGTGAGGAAATTCTGTCTTTTTTAAAGACAAAATTTTTTGAGGCGAAATATCCAAAAAGAAGTTTGTAAAAAAGTTTTAGATTTACTTGTTTTTTTTGAAGTTGCTCTTGGAGTTAGTTCCTCGAGTACAAGAAGCTGAATCTAATCCCAGATCACTTCTTCTGAGTTGCCTACGTTTCAAAACTATTCTTTTCGAACGGTCTATCACCACAATGGTTTCAACCAACTTTTCACATATACTTGTTTTTGAGTTGCAAAATCGAGTCAAACATGACGCTGTTTTTTCGAAGTTTCTCACGTCCAATTCGAGCCACAGAATTCCTGTTGGCATTGGATAGAGAACTGAAAATTGGATTCAATCATAACATTTTGAGTGAAGAAGTTCTAGTCGATTTGACCGATTTGACGATTGAAATTTTATTTCATATTTAATAACTCTGAAAACAACCGTTGTGAGACGCAATTCTCCACCTTCGTTTCTCCTACAGATATTTTACTTGTTCGTCGAGGAATAGTGATAATTGTTCTTTAAATGTTGAAAAACATTCTAGGAGTAATCATATTTTTTAAGGTAGGTTCCCGTTATTTTATGTGTTGACCGTGTTTTGTAACGCTTGAAGGCCATTTATCAATCAGACGAACAATAACTATAGATTTGTGATAAATGCATCAGTTAAAATGAAAGAAAATGTTTCGTTTATAAATAAACAGCTCGGATCTACAGACGTCTGGCATTATATTTATACGACTCCGAAAATGATGTATGGCGTTGGTGAGAAATGTCGGCTGACCCTAGACTGTGAGGATAGAAGATTTATTGTTCGAATATTTCTTTATATTGTCTCCGGTCTTATATGCAATGAAAATAGTGTTTTTGGCTGAAAATGACTGGCCAATTTTTTTCCGTTAGGAATTTTAAGATATTGCATTTTCGTGTACAACTGATATATGCATTAGCGCATATTCGCAGTAATTCAGCACAAGAAACAGTAGGTACTGAAAATATACTTCCAGCGAAGGTCCCTTTTCTGACCTGAATTTATTTGCACCAGGATGAGCAGGTCAACAACCGACACCGACAGAGACTGCGAACATTTTGAACAACCTCTGTAGGCGCAAATCTTATTTATTAATCACAATTTATTCACTTTTCAGTTTTTATTAAAATTGCCTAAATAACTTTAGAAAGGTGCACACTCTCCATTATTTAATGGATATCAAAATCATCACCAGATCTGACATAAATTAAACTTAACAGGTCTAAGTAAGAGTCTGTTGTAAGTACTCGCCTATTCAAATGCATTCTATCTTTAACAATTTTTCTTTACCAAT